CCTGAGAGGGTGCTACATACCCTGTGGTTCTGGGCACAACGTATCTTCGTAGTATTTCTGTTGAAGTGCCCCCTGATGAGGCAAGGTTTGGTTCTCATCTGACCCCAGCTTCAGGCAGTAACTCATCTGCACCTGCCCTTGCTCTCACTCCTGTCTGCAGAGCCACGCGATCCCCCTGGCCGCACACAAGGGCTGGACTCAACCTCTTCTGACTTCAGCAGCTACCACCATGGGTTTAAACTGGAGTGAGAGTATCAGAATCACTGATCTTGGAAGACAAAAGAAATAGACAAAACCACTTTGAAACAGGATGGCTACAGTAAAGCTCCCGAGTCCATCAGAGGGGCAGCTCTGGCAAGAGGCCTGAGGAGAAGATGGCTACTCCCCAAGTCAGGCAGGAACATTTTGCATTCAGTATCAGAGAGTTTTGATAATGAAGGAGATCCTAAATGAGCTTTTAGCCTATACATATAGGCTACAAAATATCAAGTGCTATATCTAAAATACGTTGCTCTGTCTAGTGAGAGATCTATATCCAGCTCTCATTAGACAACAGAGAACGTCCATACGCACTGCTGTGTGTAGTGGTCTGGTTACAGCATGGGAATCCAGCAGGAGTGTTAGAAAGAGAGGAACAGAGCCCCCCCAGCACCAGTGTTGTGTTTTATTTGTGTTGACAAAGCAGGACGTGAAGCTGGGAGATGTCCTAAGGACAGTGGCTGGTTCCCATCACGGTCCCGCCAGCTGCCCCCATTGCGCTCCGGCGGGCCGAGGTGACGCCGCGGGAGGCACAGGCCCCTCGCAGTGACACCCGGCTCCAGGGGCCTGGCACGCAGAGGACATTCCTACACTCGGTTCAGAATGACAAATCCGTTTTCTTTGGTGAAATAAACTGGTGAAATGTTTTTCCTTGCTTAAAATTTCAAGACGCTGGTCTATTGCAAATGAGTTAACCTTCCAAAAAACACCATGCTGACAGCACGTTCCATTCTGACACTGCCTCCAGGAACCACAGGACCAAGATGACAGAACTATTGCTACTTCTGCCATACCTTCATTACCTGCGAGGAGACAATAGATACAACAGATGCAAACAGCACCACACACAAACTACAGAGGAACACTTTAATAACTCGTCCACCACTCAACAGTGGAGGAGTGTCTTCTCTTTACAGCTATCACACCTTTTTTTCCTGTCTGTAAACAAGGAATTCCTGTTGCAAATCCATATCCGAATCCATACATACATGTACACACACACACACACATACACACACATGTACTTGCTTTGATACTGCGTGGAGTGGAGTTTCTCCTTAAAGTAAACAAGTATATTAACACCTACATCAGAATCCTTACCAGCCCCATTTTTGCTCTCTTCTAAGTTGCACTCACAAAACTACTCCTTGGTTTTAGATAGCATTAAATACTGATAAAAATACAATGAAAACATTTCTTCCAAAATACCTAAAAAGTTGTCAGTGAATCTAAACTGTTATAATGGAAGAACATCATTAAAATCTGTGAAATTCAAAAAGTATAGCAATTAAGGTCCAGATTCAATTTGTCAGGTTTTGTTTCTTTAGGAGGAATGAAGATCTTGATCTTTATTCTTAAAAAAATCCCCACACTGGTATCAACAGTCTCTGTCTTTCAAAGGTCATTAGAGACAATATATTCACAGAGACTATTCCAAAGACCATATCAGAAACAGTGAAATTAAGCTATAAGAAGCAAGCTGTGAAAGTTGCCACCAACACTATCAGCAAAAAGGCAGTAAGCCAGACCACACTGACAGAAAGAGAAGAGATAAGACAAAATGAAATAAAATGAAAAGCACAAATCCTCAGCCAAACTTGGCTATCCAAACTCAGCACGAGCTGTTTACACCGTTAGTTTGCTAAGTCTGGGAATAGTGATTTGTCCTTTGAAAGGAGCTAAAGGAGCATAGCTGAGGTTAGGGGAACACGGCCCATACTGGATACATCATCTCAGGCTTTCTCTTCAATTTCTGCTCTCGAGGACCCAACACACATCACACTGCTGGAGATGCTCACAGCACTCAGAGCAAGACATTCTGCCTGCACTTTGTCACTTAGGACCTTCATTTAGGACCTGTGGCAGCTCTTGACATGGAGGTTAAGTGCTACATAAATGCCTCGCTTGAGCACTTTGGACTTTGCTGCCCTTGGACCTCATCTGGATGGAGCTCCCAAATGCTTGTATTTAGCCCTTTACTAGCACGCTCCCTTCACTGCTGAACTATTGGTATTGCTCCAAACTTCCTGAAGCATGGGACACAAATGACAGTCTTGCCAGCTCTGGCAATTTTTTATGAAGCTTGGTGTCCTTCTTAAATCCCAGCTGCAGAAATCAAGAGATTACATTACTTTCCCACTTTATCACCATTAAAACCAGATGTATCATTTCTGGCCCTCAGTGTGCTTGAAAAATGCCTGAAAAACATGTCATGAAATCAGTCTCAAAGCTCAGCGTCCAGAAGACAATACAAGAACCAAAAAAGTTTATTTAAGAAAAAAAATCACCATGATTTGAAGCCAATCTTGTAAGTTCTTGTGCTTGGTTGATGAGTTTGTATGCCTGAAGTGGGCAGTCCTAAGAGCAGACACAGCAAACGCCCAAGCAAACATGTTGCCTCCCCATGGCTCGAAACAAACAAACAATCTCATTTGATTAACTCTGCTGGAAATAGTATTTTAAAGGGTAAAACGATTCCACAAAGATGACATGTTGGCATTTGAAATGAGATTAATATAGTGCCTGTAAAAGTGCAGTAATCCTTAATAACTAACCCAAAAGAAGCATCATCTCCAGGGATAAGGCAGTAATTCACTCTCCATATTCAATTTGTTTCTAAGCTGCTTTCGAAACAAGACTGCTAAATAGTAAGTTGGCTTGTGATCCTAGACTTCACTGCTGGACTTACTATAATCACGCCATTGATTCAGCACCCATTTCAGACTAAGTCACAGGATAAAAAATTAGGTGGGCTAATTCCTTAAGCTGTTGGAGTGAAAGACGGTGAGCATGGGGTAAATTTAGAGATAGGAGTCTGTCTACTGCAAGCAACAGGGGAAAGGTAACACATTGTCTTTACCAAATGACTGCAGCTAACTCTTTGAACAGTCTTGTGTCTCAAGATCGTATTTCAAGACATATCTATCCTTCATAAACCCGTGGAAGTCTAGGATTTCATGTTCAGTAAAGGAACAAGTGATGACAACACACTTAGACGAAATTACTTACTGATTCTCATTAGTGAGATCTTGCAAAAAGAATGGAAAACTCTGGCTTATGATAAAACCACCTCAACACTGCTTCATCTCAAGTACTCACCCTGTTCAAAAATATAAAATAAAATACTTCAAGTGGTTTGTTTTTCTTAAAAAAACCCCAAACCAGCAATTACCTTTCATCTAGATTTCTGGACAGGTCTCACTGTTGTGGTTGTATTCATTAGCTACTGGGGCCAGAACCAGCATGACAAATGCTGCCAGACTCATGTTTTGGCCGTGTCACCAAAACCCTCAGAGAACAGATAAGGGTGTATCGACCACTTCAGGGACAGGAATGTGCAGATAATACAGGATGTGCATGTTCTCCAAATGTCCTTTGCAGACAACTCTAAACTGGATGATTTCTCTAATGATGCACCTTGGCTACGTTTACAATGGTCTTGTGGAACAAAATATTAGGAATTATTGATTTTTAAGGAAAGGCAATACTACAGGGAGCTAACGTACAACAGCTACAGTAGTATTTGTCTCAAATGTGCATTGGGCAGAGTCCTTAAACTGTTCTTATTGCAAATATCCAAGACCTGCTCTAAAAATCATAACAGTCTGAACCTTTTAAATGCAAATTTGTTCTATTTATCTGGTTGCAACCCAGTGAGTAGAATCCAATAACTCACCAGATTAAAGGATATACAGGATTATATAGCAGAAGGTAATTGCAATTAACTAATATCTGGATGGCATTTAATACATATATTGTATTATTTCAACAAGATGAGATAGAGTAATATTTACATTGCTATGAGCATTTTCTGTTTATAGAAATGGAATTTACAGTTCAGTAAGGTATGCAGGCATTTTATCAAGAATGAGAAGAGACCATTTAAAGTCTTGTGAATTATTGATACAAATTCATTTTGTTTTGTTTCATGCATCAGCGCTTCTTGCAGTGGCACCAGAAGAGCAGTGCAGTTTATAACAAGGGCAAAAAAAGAAGAGGAAAGAGCAAATGTGAAATGGTGTAATTTATTCACAATTGCTTTGAAATTCTATCTGAATTGTCTCATTATTATTCACGCATTAGAAGAATGGTCCAAAACATGACAACATGGGTAAACAGATGCAGAGCTTGGAAAATAGGTAATCTGACTGAAGTATTCATGGCCATTATTAAACAAATGTTATATTGCTTTCGGGTAAATCTGGTGATTTTATTTAATTTGACATTGTTTTCAAGATAGCAAGATAATACTGTTCGTTTCTAATGCTCTGAAATGAACAAAACAGGTGAAAATTGATGCCACATGGAATTATAATGTTTCAACAGTAGCTGGTTAGTTAAACTTCTAGAAAGTTTCATGAAGAATCTGCATACACTTACGAATGGACTTTTACATACAATATCAATGCTTAGAGTGTAGCTGTCCTGTTAAAATCTGCTTTCACTGAGTCACTATGCAAGGAGAGATTGCTCTATGAAGAAAAATCTTGGATGAGTATTTGTTTGTGACTAAACAGTAAAATGGAAAGAAAATTCACAGATTTAGTACAGGAATGGTAGATAAGACTATGAAAGCTAATATTTCGAAATTGCCTAAAAACTGCAATAAATTCTGCTGCCTACTGAAATTATTAAGCCAACAATAAACAGGAAGAATGGAGTATCAAAACCTCATTGCATAGTGTGTCATCGTTCTTTAATGAGGCATTTCTTCAACCTTTTACCTCTTAACACCTTTGGTGATCTTACATTAGGTACCTGTAAGATATTCAATGTTCTCTTTTAGAGATTAAGCCTATAGGAAGTATGAAATCTTAGGAATGTACTCTGTCAGGTAATGATGCCAGAATTAAGCATCGAGAAGCTTGGTTCAGGTTCAGAAGATGATTCTGAATGAATAGCTATAACTTCTACTAATTTATTTCAGAAGGGACTTCCTATATATACCCTCAAATATTTAAGACGCTTTGAACTATTTTCTCAGTAATCCATATCTTCTCAAAGTGCTTTTTTTGTTTTCACTTGAAGGCAGCACGGACTCAAAACAACACTGCAGGGAATGTACCGTTCCATAAAGCACATAAGGATGGCAGGATCCAGGAGACACAAGGCATAGAAAATTGTTGAAAATGATTAGATGGTACAACACATACTGCTCTTGAGTCATAAGTTCCATTTATGGTGACTTCTACTTCCAATAGATAGGATATTAAAAAAGGCAATAAAAATGAAGTTACATGAATAAACTTCCAGAAATGAGTGGAGTTCCACCAGTGATCGTCTCTGCGCTGGTAGAGGTAGAGGAATGAGGATGTTATGAACAGGGAAGCAGTCACTACAACAAATGAGCCTCAATGCGGAGCCAGTGGAGTCCTTGGCGAACGTAACGAACCAGATTGGTCATGCTGCTGTGTTGGGTTAAGGGTCCCATCGCTGAGTCCAGGTCTACAAAGAATTCTGCAGTACACAAGAAACAGAAGTCAGTGTTTCAGGCAATGGTACAGAAAGACATGTATTCCCATGATTTCCCACTCAGCAATTCCCATGAATTCCCACTCAACAGCAGCAGTGCAATTAGGAAGCTCTCAAGACATTGTGCACGTGAGCACATGGTCAGTAGGAAAGAATTTAAACAATGGCAAGAGTGTATTTAAGCAGACCAAATGAGACTATCCATGCTGGGAGTCGACCACAACATGGTGTGAGTGGTTGCCAGTAGTCTTCCTTTAGCTCTGATGATCTGCACTTTCAGTTTTCGAGCCTAGGTTTGCTGACTGCACGATTTAAATAGCTGGCAATGAACAGCGTCATTTCCTTTTGCATGCTGTACCCTCTCCTGGGTGTGGAGAGCTAGTAGGGGTCTTGTAGAAGACCTTGGTTGCTCTTCTCCCCACCCTCCAATTTCTGTTACTGCCATTGCAGCAGTTTTGGCCCTCTGCTCATCCTGCTGCAGCTGCAGGTCCCAGAGGATGTGTGTGGGGTGGGAGGGGAGAAGGAAGAGGAGAGAGGGAACAGCATGCAGGAGATGGTCACCTAGAAGAGCAAAGACAGGTAAGGCCACTGGGATCTGATGTCGGGAAGAGTTAACAGGGGGTCACTAAACTGAGAGGCATTGTTAGGAAGCAACACACCAGTTTATGCCATGTCTTAGATGCTCTCTGGGTGAAAGACTAATCCTGTTAGGACCAGCAGACCATGTTCAGTGGAGATCCAGCTGGTGCCCTCTGTTCTCCCACAGCTCGTGTTTTTGCTCACTGGGGTGCAGGCATTCCCACACACACAACCCTAGCAATTTCAGTTAAAGTCCCTCAGAGCTCAGACCACAGCCAGCCATGACAACAACTGGTGGCTGAGCCCTCAGCTTCTCACCCTGCCTAGACCCCAGCATGCGGCGCCCTGCCAGCGAGCAGCACGCTGGCTGCAGCTCAGGAGAGCAGGCGCTGTGTCCAGAACCACTAGCAGCACTTGCCTCAGCAGGTAGCTGCTGCTTTGATGTCTTCTACCCCCAGTATTGACAGCCTGACCCTGGTCAGCTCGGGAAACACAGCAGTATCACAGCATAGAGTGATCTGGCTGGAGGCAAGCACAATGAAAGCTTAGGGCGAGCACCAGCGGCGTTAAGATGCTGCAGCCAGCAGTTACTTTTAATCTTCTTTCCCCTGTCCTTTATTCCCCTCTTCCAGTGTAAAATCAATACATTTAGTGAAATAATGCACTGCTTTGCTTGTATTCTGGAGATCTCATTCTAGGCTCAAATAAATAATAATTGCTTTAAACACTGAGAAGTCACCTCAAAGCCTAATTTCAGTTTAACATTTCTTGAAAAAAATACAAGCACTGGAACCACTTATTAAATTTACAGGTGAAAGAACAGACCTTTGTCACTACAGAGCTGATAGTTTTCTACTGTGAAGTGCTGCTGTCTTTGGAAGGTTATAAAAATTACCTGATTTTGTAAAGTCAGCTGAGAGTTTGATGTTCTAAATGGTGAACAACTCTCTAAGTGATCCAACACAAGCCAGCCCTTGGGCTAGCTTTGGGAGCCTGCAGTGTAGCCTGGCCAGTTTGTGACAAACTCCATCTATTCTCTCCCACACTCAATTCCACCAGGCAGGGGAAATTCCACCAGAGGAACAGGGCAGTATGTTCCCACTTCCCTTTTCAAACCAGATCAGCTTGGTGGGTCACAGTTCTGCTGTTCTCCCTCTTGCTATGCCTTTTTATTTCAACGGCACATCTTTTGTCAGGCTTCTGTCTCCTGCTCTGAGCCAGCTGGACACGAGTCAAGCCCAATCAGGGAGCGTGCGGGGGGACTCAGAGGAGCACAAAACCTAAGCTGACAGCTGTGGACAAGGGGAGGCTGCACAGCTCCTACAGTGTGGAAGACGTCTCTTGTGTCTGCATGGGCATGACCTAAGAAACATCCATGACAGCAGCTGGACCCAGAGGTAAAGGCTATTTGACCTTACAACAGTGGGGCCACAGTTTTATACCCATCCCTATTAGCTCATCAGGGACATGTTCTTGGGCAAGATGCTCCCTGTGATTCAGAAGAGCACAGAAACAATGAGAGCTGACCACAAAAATAAAAAAGAAGAAAATAGTGACTGATTTGTTTTCTATTTTTTAAAAAAAGAAAATTAATTTCTATCTTAAATGCATGTTTCTTTGTGGGTTTGTGTGTGTTTGTTCTTTGAGACCATTCTTATTTCAAGGGGGGTATGTGAGAAATTTAATTTTTTTATGACGCACTGACTGCACAATCCCCTGAAAGAGAGGCCACGAGTTCTGTCCTCTACCCGGGACTCAGGGCAGAGTATGGGGTTTGCACATACCCTGTTTGCTGTCATGGGGCATTTCTGAATTCACAGTCCACACACCAGTGTACCAGAGCCTGGGCACTGCACCAGCCCGTCCAGCTGGCAAAGGTGGATTAGAGACAGCCAAGTAGAAAGGATGAGTCCTTGCCTAGCCAGCAAGATAGAGGTGTTCTGAATTGAGAGGTGCAGATGGTATCTACTAAAAGAATTACAGTTAGGTTTTATGAAACACTCTAAGATATCTCATGTCAAAGTGTCTTAAATATATTCTTCTGTAAATGGAATCCATCATGTGATATGATGAAGACCTGCAGGGTACCACAGCAGTTCTTATACACTTTTTTGTTACATCATGAATTTTTCAAATTGCTGTTTAATTGTGTTGAAGCATGCAACTTTCAAAATTATTTAATTAGAAATGAGGCGTATTTCCAGCCAAAATGTAAAGACAGACATGCTAGAGCATGTATGAAACTCTGGTCTCTCTCCAGTGGTGTAAAATACTTAAAAGAAATTTGAACCCATACTTTCCATTCCCTGTAACATGGCTGCAGTTTGTGAAACAAGATACAAAAGAAAGGGCACAGCCCTGGATGTCTTGCTCATGTAAGAAACCCTCATTCATGCATCCAGTCCCACTAAAGTCAAAGGGACTGCTCATCTGAATAAGGATTATTCCTATATGGCTTTGCAGAACTGGGTTTATTTGATCGTAAATCAAAATGAGAACAAAGAAGAGTGTAGGGGGGGGAAATGCAGGAAGAGTCAGCAGGTTTTTTGTCATCCAGCTCAAGGACTGATAACAGCAGTGGCTGGGTACATTTTCTGTCTGCTGGCTGAATGCCTGAGCTATTTTGATTCAATACCAAGTAGAACATTTAACAACTCCACAACACACAGGGCTAATTACAAGATTATCACCATCTCTTTCTCCTATCAGAGCATCCTTCTGCATTCCCACTGTAACATTCTGTAGTACATTTGACAGGGAATCACTTTCACATTTTGTGAAAATGGATGCAGCTATGGAAAAAAACCCAAAATGACTGCATTGCTACTCAATTAACCAACATGAACAAAGGCAAGAAGCCTTGGGGAGGACTGGACGGAGCTTCTATTATTGTTCCTCATCCAGGGATAGATCATTATGACCCACCATTTAGACATAAAACTCTATAAATCGCAAGCTTAGTTTCTCTAAATCAGTGGAAATTTGCCACTGACATTAATGGGAGTAAGATCAAACTGCATACAGCGAGCACATTTGTCAGGAAAAGTCAGCCAGCTGAAATCTCAGTATAATTTAAGAGAATGAGCCAATTCATGATGAGAATATTTCCTAGTTAGGCTCTGCACCTCTAGTGTCAAAGAAAGCTTTGCCAATGATTTGTGTAAGCTCAAAGCTGGAATCTGAATAATTACATTATCATGGGGAAGTTCACAGCTGGCCAACAACAGGCCAGATTTGTCCTTTAGTTACATCTCATCCACTCCACTATACTTGATAAAATCCAGTTACAAACTGCTTGCCAAAACGACTGTGGTAAAGACTTACATTTTGTCATTAGGACTCAACAAGGAGATTTGCAATTCAGCCATAGGAGAGTCAAGGTCATGGTTTTCGGTGGACATCTCCTAATCGGACTCCCTGCATAAACGTAACATCTAATGCTTGCTTATTATCCTAGCCAGCATTTTAATAGTCTTAAACCCATTGACAGAGAAGTCTGAAGATAACCTCAGTGCTCTGAGAAGCTGAAACTGAACAAATTTGCAGACTCAAAAGATCTCATCACTTGGGGCTCATGCTTGCTAAATTATTTGCCAGCTGCTCTGATAACCGCACGTTCAGCGTGTGTTACACATGTCCCCTGTGTGCTTGACAAGAGAAGATACGTGTTGGCTACAGTGACCAGCGAGCAGATTTGGTCTGTTAGCTCAAGCTGTCGCAGTTGTGCTCTTAGATGTGGTGGTTCTGGGTCCAGCTCCCCAAAACGCCTACAAGAGCAGAGAGAGAGCTAAAGCCGATGAGCCAAAGGGGACAAGGAAGAAGCCGAGCGGGGCACCTTTGTTCTCCTTGGTCAGCTTGTCAGCCATGTCCCAGTGCTCGTAGCTCCGCAGGACGTTGTTGGTGATGTTGACGTGGCTGGCAGCCATGTGGTGGATGCGCTGAGGGATGGTGATGGTCCCTGCTGAGGAGGAGCCGGCGCTGCCCGCGCTGCTTCCAGCGGAGCTGACGGGGGACGGGCTCAGGGACATGGGCGATGGAGTTTCTGTGCTCCTGCGAGAGGCAAAGGAGAGTGAGTCCCCCTCACACCCCCCACCTCATGGCCCTCCTAAACACACTTGAAAAATTAACTCTGCACTTCAGTCAGGGGAGGCTGCGCAGCAGAATCTCCTGCTTTTATGAGAAAGGAGAGCTTATAAACTAGGAATGACTGAAAATAAAATGGGATTTAATTCTCCCTATAAATGAACCTGTTATTTAAAAAAAAAATCTATCATAAAAATAGAGCAATTTTTCAGAGAAAGAAGTATCTCATAGCTGTAATGATTTTTCTACCTGCTGCCAGAAGCTGCAATGGCAGTTAGAAAACACTCAATGTGCAATATTGGCTTATTATCAAAGCATTTTGTGGAAACCACAATGACAGTTTGCTCCAAATACAGCCACCACAATAAGTAAAGTGCAAGTCTTAAAAGCACCCTGCAGAGCAGTATTAGGAGCTGAGGGTACTGTAGGATTATGAATATCTCTATAGGATTCTTTAAGACTGGCTATGGAGATTTGTTTCTAATTGCCTAGAGATCATCCGCACAGTTTTGCAGCGAGCAGTGTTTTAAGTTGCCTCTTTAGCACAGCACTAATGGTCTAATATAGATTTTCCTTTAATTCTAACACTAGCAGTTAGGAATCACCTGCTGGCTGCAGGCACGGTGGGGGTCAGCACAGCAAGCCCAGGCTCAGAGCTCACAAACAGCTCTTCACTTCAGAAGTTTATCAAGATGGAGAATCGTTTTGGTTGGAAAAGACCTCATCAAGCCCAACTACTAACCCAGCCCTGCCAGGTCCACCACTAAACCTTGCCACTAAGCACCACATCTACACATCTTTTAGACACCTCCAGGGATGGGGACACCACCAGCCTGGTCCAATGCTTGACAATCTTATAGGTGAAGAAATTTTCCTAATATCCAAACAAAACCTCCTCTGGTGCAACCTGAGGCCATTTCCTCTTGTGCTATCATTTGTTACTTGGGAGAAGAGACCGACACCCGTCTCACTACCTCAGGTAGTTGTAGGGAGTGATAACACCTCCCCTGAGCCTCCTTCCCTCCAGACTCAACAACCCCATTCCCTTGGCTGCTCCTCATAAGACTTGGACTCTAGACCCTTCACCAGCTTTGTTGCCCTTCTTTGGGCATTCTCCAGCACCTCAATGTCCTCCTTGGAGTGAGCATCCCAAAACTGAGCCCAGTATTTGAGGCACAGCCTCACCAGTGGTGAGTAAACACCCACCCAAGCCATGAGCAGCCAGTTTCTCCAGAGGCATGCTATGGGACATGGTGCCAAAGGCTTTACTAAAGTCCAGGTGAACAACATCCACAGCCTTTCCCTCACCCACTAGGCAGGGCACCTTATCACAGAAGGAGATCAGGTCACTCAAGCAGGATAAGCCTCGCATAAACCCACGCTGACTGAGCCTGATCACCTGGTTGTCCTGTATGTGCCACATAGTGACACTCAGGCTGATCTGCTCCACAACCTTTCATGGCACTGAGGTCAGACTAACAGGCCTGTAGCTGCCCAGATCCTCCTTCTCGCCCTTCTGCTGGATGGGCGTCACATTTGCTAAGTCCTTCTCTGTTAGCAAACAACAGGTCCAGCAGGGAGCTTTCCCTAGTCTCTCTAGCTATGTCAGGAAATGTCTTCCACACACACCAGGAACCTCCTGGACTGTTTCCTCTCTGGTGTATTGTATTTCCAGCAGACATCTGGTAAATATAAGTCCCCTGTGAGAGCAAGGCCTAGTGATTGTGAGACTTCTCCCAGCTGCTTACAGAATATTTTGTCTGCCTCTTCATGCTAGTTGGGCAGTCTGTAACAGACTCCCACCATGATATCTGCCTTGTTGGTCTTCCCCTTGATTCTTACCCATAAACACTCAACGCTATCATCACCATCACTAAACTGCAGGCAACCAACAAACTCTTTCTAATACAGGGTTAACCTATTCTTTCTCATACAGGGTTAACCTATCACCTCTCAACTTACCACCTTTGTGACTCTATTATCCTCTCCTTCCTCACCTGTCTCTTCTGAAGAGTTTAAGGCCATCAACTGCAGCACTCCAGTCCTGTGAGACATACCACCCTGTTTCCATGATGAATTTGTTTCAGTCAAGGAGATTAAGAGTTCAAAAAATCCCTGCTCTTGTCCCCATTTGGAACCACTTACCTAAACAAATGCATTCAATTTGCTGTGGAATATACTTGAAAAGCAGGGCTGAGATGCTCTCAGCACTCTCTGTGTGAAGTGGACACCATCTCTCTGGACAGGGATGTTGCAACCCCTCTCTTGACAGGAAGCCACTGATACCTCCTGCTGTGCAACAGCATGAAGCTCACTTAGACACTTTAGGGGCCTGACCCAAACCCCAGGAAAGAAAGGCTCCTCCTCTTGGCTTTACGAGCCCCCATCAGTGGTCCTGAACATGCAGCGTGGGCACAGACCTGCTGCTCTGGTACCCTGCAGGTGCTGTAGGACAGACAGCCACCACGGCGCAGCCTTGGGCTGACAGGCACCTATGGCAACAGCTTTTGTTGCAGATTCTCCAGCAGTGCCTTGCCTGTGCTCCACAACAGGCTCCTGTGAGACTTTCTTCTTCCAGAGCTAGAGACCGTGTTAATCCAGCAGCTACTAGCTCTTGTCACAGCTTACGTGTTACAGTTTAAACATATCCTACAGCACCACCATTCTATTTTTAAATCTTAAAACATCCTGGTTACTTGACATGCCACAGTGTCTTTAATGCACAAAAGAGTGCTGAACTATACCCAGTTAGGTCTGGGAGCAGTTAGAAATCCTAAGCATCTGAGGAGATCAGGAGTATTTTGTTAGAGCCACTTGCAACAAGCTGACGCACTTCTGCCAAATAAAGCACATTGTTCATTGGATTTACCCTGTTGTGCACAGCCATTATTACTGTGGTGAGTCTATTAAATCTCTCTATTTTGTGCTTTCTGTCGCTAGAGGTGGGAAACATTTCTGTAATGAAACCAGGGAAAATTTGTTTCATTGCCAGCCTGGAACTCAAGCCAACTTTGTAGAGGTTCACAACCCTTTCAAACTAAAGTGGCCAGAAATTCCAGTAAGCCAAGCTGGGATTTTTGATGGTTTGAGATCCTAAACGGACTACCTTCATGGCAATGGATAAATTTTGCTTTGTTCAAAAAAAGATTTAACAATACCCTGCTATCTCACTATTCTCAACCAGGCTGCTGATCTGCCTCCATACCCTGATGGTGTTTGGTCTCTCCTCTGTGGTGTGTGACTTCTCTTCCCATCTGGTACAAATTTTTAGGGGAGTAAGAGGCAACTGTAGAGCAAGGAGCCCTGGGGAAGACTGAGCACATGCTGCCAGTGGCAGCACCAGGCTCGTGACAGTCCTTGGGCTCACCAGGGGCCACCTGAGATGTATAGCAACTAAGCCAGCTGGAGAGCTTTTCTTCTGAGACTCCAGAAAGAGAGGACAGAAGATGTGAGTGTGGACTGTGGTCTTTGTGTACACAGTTGGGTCACAAGTGTCATAATAACACAGTTATAGCAAGGCCTTACCATATTCAGTTAGTCTTACATGTTAAGTGCTTCCTTCTCTGAATAAAAGACAGGGATGTACACTTTCAGAGCTTTACTTCCTTATCTCTGAAGTTAGTGGGAAGAGACTAATCAACTGGGTGTTATGTTGGAAGCGATGCTGACCCAAATGCTGGGTTCCTGTTGCTTATCTTGTGGCTTGACAAGAATTTTGTCCTCCAGTCAAAACCCACTGATTCTAAATCCTGGGCACCTAATCAGCTCCTTTCAATAGCAAGGGAGATGTCATCACCTGCAGAGCACACACTTCACACGGGTCTATTATAGGACAGGAGTAACAGGATAACTTCTGCTCCACAAAATTTTAGGTATAAGCCAATTCTTAAGGAACAAAAGAGGTGTAATGCTCTAGTGGTCTATTTTGGCACCAAAACATTATGTAAAGCTTACTATAATTTTATTGCAATAGAAGGTTTCACTGACATTTAAATTCCTTGAAAAACTGGCACATATTGAATAACTTAATTTAGTAGTTTCTTTTCCAGTGTTAAAATATCTTTTCAGTTCTCATTTAAAGTGATCTTGTATTTCATCACTTTAGCTTGTGTTATAATCTATACTTAAATATATTGTATATATATATATACACACACACTCCTACCTCAAAATATTTTGAATTATCCAAGACAATATTTTCCTTTAAGCAAAATGTTGGAATTTTTTGTTTTGCATTGATTCAGAACAAACTCTGCTTTAAAACTTCTTTGTGTGTTAAACCTCAACCCCTTCTACAGTTTTAGTACTTTGTTTCCTTGTTTCATTTTTTCTTATGAATCACCAGAAGGAGACAATTATCAATAATGATTTTCACCTAGAATTCAGCCTACTCAAAGAAGGAAAAAAAATGAAGTCCCTTTTTTTTACCTGTATCAGCACAGATGGCCAGGAGAAAGGGGCAGGAGAAATGTGTGTCCAGTGGCAACAGAAATTGCAAGATAAAGCAAGGCGGCAGCAGCAGTGCACCTTCACTGAACAGCAGATCATAACTGCATTACCCTGACTTCATATCTGAGGTGAAGGTGTTTTAACACTAGTATAAAGTCATTGATAATTGGTTGACTAAATGCCTTCACATTTTCACCACTATTATGCCTTCAGTTTTATTAAACAGCACTTACCATATATCAATGAAATATTCATTGGACTTTCATTACTGAACGAATCATTGAAAAATCATTGCAATGACGGTTAACTTTACTTTGGCTTCCTGAAATGACATGATACTTGCTAGCTAATTAACAGATATTTTTATGGCCTTCATTTGGCTTGAGAAGCAAACTGTCAAAGAATTCAGCGCAACATGGCTGATTTTAGATTTAAGGGGGCTTTGCACAAAGATGAAGCTGCATTTCAGCATTTCATTCCCACCTAGGCTGGATGTCTCACACAGGTACCTGAGTTAGCTCAGTGAGAGCCCCTCGCCCCCACAAGCCCAAGGCAGCAGTAAGATCAGCTCTGTAGCCCAGAATCATAGAATCACTATGGCTGGAAAGGACTTTGAGGATCATCAAGTCCCAACTTCGAAGAACATTTTCTACCTGCTACACAGCTGAAATCTACCTGTACGTCCCAAGTCACCGAGTCACGGCCTGTCCTTTGCCTTTAGAGGCACCAAAACATTTCCCCCCTCTTGGAACCACGTGCTCTGAGACAGAAGTATTCAGCACAAAATACTCACTTTCCGTTGCCTCCCCAGGGTGAGGGGGCCTGTGAGGCTTTTGAAGAGTTCTGTAAGTACAAAACCAGAATGTAAATAAAGGTGCTGCAAGTCCACGAATACTGATGACACGAGGCTCAGCACTCCCTGTTCTCATTGCAAGAGCTACAGCACATGTAGCAGAACAGCTCTGCACGTCAGTCCCCTCATTAAATGGCTGGTGGATGATTGGTAGGTACCAACCAGTAGCTTGCAAGTCACTTGGTGAGAGAGGGAATACAGTAAAGTTCCAGTAAAAGCAGATGTAGTTCACAAAGAAGTGGTTTAATTACCACTGTAACTTATTCTACAAAGTATGTTGCTCAGAGTGCAAATGACTTCTTATCTTTAGGGGGACCTGCAATTTTTAAACAAGAAACAAAAAGAATTTGGGTTGATGCCTTAATGAATTAATCCCTCCCAAGTTGCTAGGGAGAGTGGCTTGGGATACAGATAGTAGTAGAAATAAAACTTCTTGTAAGGATCTTCTTGAATGCCCTTGCTTTTATGTATTTTATTTGCACAAAACGACTTTCCTTACCTGCTTACTCATTCTGCCTTTCACATCTGTGTAGCACCTTGTACAACCCTGTACGAAAAAATTGCCCAGCAACAATAAAGCCCAGATTTTTCCAGTCTTGCTCAGACTGGGTGGTATTTTAGTTCCCATAAAAAGTGGTAATATCAGGGCTGAAGCTATGTGTGCTTTCTGAATACAATCACTCGGAGCTCCCTTGCAAAGCCATAAGCATGTACAGTGAAAATTCAATTTTCAGAGTATTTTTGCAAAGTATTATTGCCATTATTACAGGATTCATCTGGTTACTGTAATCACCGTCTTGTATGTGAGGCACAGAGATTCAGTGGAGAACAGAGCAGCCCAGGCCATGGCCCAAGGTCATGCAGATCACTCTGGGAGCAAAATCCTAACCTTGATTTTCAAAATGCAGCTTAAGTTGCCAAAGAGTATTGACCAAAGCAGAAAATACTGCCCAAACCACAATGCTGGCCTTGCCTGTATATCCTATTCAGCATGCCACTGTGTTTTACTAAAGATGTGAGCATGAAGTGGAGTGTTTTGCAGTACAGAACATGGGTAGTGTATGTTTTTGCCACCCACTCCTATGTCGGAAAGAGGGAGATGCTAAACTTCCCTGGAAAGTCTTCAGGGATGAAGCACCAGCTTTGATGTTAGTTTCTGCTGTCTGGGGATTGTTCCTGACAGTATCTGGAGACAAATACAAGATCTGTCAAGATTAAAACTAGATCTCAATTGGAGGTAGTTATTTGACAATGAAAATATTTGAAATATTTTTGCCAGTGACTACTGACAACACATTTTGAAAAACAGAAAAATCTGCCTCAAACGTCTAGGTGAATTGCATCAAAGGATGCTACTTTTGCTAATCTTAAAGAGTTTGATTTCAATTTAAAAAAATTATTATTTTAGTTATATTTTACTCAAAGTGGTCTCTACCTTTAAAAACTACTTTCACAATTAAATGGTTATTTTGTTTCAAATGTCAAAAATAAAAATTTTAAACTTTAATTGGAAAATAATCAGAACCAGTTTTGTCCACAAATAGTTTCAATTTGGAAAAAGTGACATTTGTGAGGCAAAATATGAAAAACAATTCTGAAAAAAAAACCTCTTCAGCTCTGCTGTGAACAGTGGGCTGTTTTTCCCAGCTGAAATTATGCAAAATTGTGAATAACAACTCTATTCAAAGAGTTAATCTATTTCATTTGTATTACAGGTTCTTGCTAGTGAACACAGAGAACGTTGTGCAGCAATACAAAACTAATATGTAGTTAATAGCTCCCACTCTTTTCTTTCCTCCTCCTATGCCTTTACTAGAAAAAGATCCTGAACATATAATCTGTATACACTCAAATGCTAGTAGCAAGTGAGCTACAGTGCCCACAGTGTACACACAGTTACATCAGCTGAAATAGCCTCAACTGGATGCCTAGACCCAGCATTCCTGATTTTGTCTATTTTATTTTGTTTTAAATTTTTTCTCTTATTTTCATTTACATTAAAATACATTTTCTCTGTGCAGATGCAGTAAAATGGTCTCACGATGGGAACAGTAATATGTTCTTTGTTGTACCTGTTTGTACAGCTAAAGTGGCTTTAAGGGAAGAAAGAATTCCCCCCAACCACCCCTTTTTTTTTTTTAAGAAATCATTACTATCAGCTGAAAAAGTTCATCGAATGATTTGTCTAATAACCTTTTCTTAAGAAACAATCTACATTCATCCTGGATAAAATCTGAAGTGGATAGAATACATTTCATGAAAATGTTGAGGCTATAAATGTGTGTAATTCAAATTTAATTTGTTGTGCAAATCCCTGACTGAAAACTCTGAGTACAACAGAAGCACATCTAAAGACTTCAAGAGAGCCTCAATTTAAGTAGATCAGAGTAACATTACTGGAGTTACAGAGATACATGCACATAGAGGACACAAGGCCTGGCACAAAGCACTTGAGTTCAACAGCAGAAGGATCATTTTATCACCATTTACATGAAAATATTAAAACTGCAGTGTTAAAAGTTTCACTGGTTTGCAGCCCTAATATGTCAAAGCCTGGAACAAATTCTCAAAGGCTGTAAAAAAAAAAACAACAAAAAAAGACTGATGGGCTGACAAACCAAGATAATTACATAATTATAGAATAATATGTAGTAATAAAGCCCAAGAATTAATGTATGCTTCAAACAGCATTAATCAGTAAAATATCAAAACCCTGGCAGAGCTGAAGAAAGATTCTGTTTCTCTCTTGATTTAGGCATGGTGAGGACCTGTCATTCTTACAATGGGTAAACAGCATTTGACAAGGTAAAGGAAAAAACCACCCAGTCATGACAACCAGCTGATCTCCCCTCAATTCAAGGCAAAAGCAAACAAGATGTAGATAAGGCACTCTGAAGTTCCACAAAAATAAAAGCAGAAATCTCTGCGTCTGCAATAAGCATCAACAAATCTCACTGAACTTAAAGCTAAATTTCACTAACTAAAGCCTAAATAATTGCTTTATTATGGTTCACCGGGGGTCAGTTCATAATCACTTGCAGATTGAAATCTTGAAAGAGTCAGTTTCCTTTACAGAAACTTGCATAAACATTACATGGTGTTGACAATGATGTTATTTTAGTAGACTTACTGAGCATGGTCCTTTGAATCAAGTGACTAATCCAAAAATCCCCCCAATCACTTCTGTCCCTACTCCCTGGCAGCTATCCTGCCTGCATTTCCCAGGGGGGAGGTTAAATGTAGGACTTCTAAGTCATGCACTTGTACTTGTGAGAGCTCTCAGTGCTGGTATGAATTTCATTTCATATCAATACATTAAACAGAATAAAGATTACCTTAAAATATTCCATCAGAGATCTGGAGTACTTCATAGCATGGTCCTTCTTTAGTTTAAACATTCTCAAGTAGAGAAGTGATAAGCATCGGTAGCTGTGGTAATTAGGAAAGGATTATGTTAATTCCATTGCTTAATGAAACCTATAAACTGTAAAAAAAAAAAAAAAAGCTGACCTATATTTTGCAGTTTCTGTTCTAAGGTTACATTTTGAAACATAAGCAAATGGAGAAAGAAAAAAAAAAGTGGTCAAAAGCATTAAAATCCCATCTTGATAAGAGTATAAATCAGAAGAATAAATGTTTAGTCAGCTGCTGAAGAAATCCATTAGTTATCCTTTAATAGTTTAATGGAAAACAAGAATAATGATCTTCTTCTGTAAGCTGCTTAAGTAATTCAGTACTTTTAAAGTCCTCCTTAAGATTTTAGCTGCTTCTCTCATTGTCACAATGGGACTTACCATAAAACTGCTAATTTCTTGTCCCCTTCCGTGGCAGAAGAGCCTGTGAAATTCTTGAGTCTCAGTGCATACCTTGTCAGAAAGGTGAGGAGAGAAGAAATTGAGAGTTAAGATGTTTCCAGGGATACTGGTGACACTCTGAAAAATAACAGTCCATTTGACTGGAATGGTTAATGGTCACATTGTTCTGTGACAATGAGATCAATGTAAGGTTCAACAAAGCACCACTTAAAATCTGGAGGGCTAAACGAAATCAACAACCCATTTTCTGGCCCAAGGTCGGGAACTGTTCTTGTGCATATTAATGACACTATATCCAGCTGTCTAGGCTGAGTCCTGCAAACGTTTGTGATAAGCATTGAGCAGAAGCATAAGATCTTAGCCCTGTATAAACTGAAAAGTAGAGTCAACATAGAATAAGGTCTTGCAAATCATACTTTGGGCTTGAATAATACCTCCAAAATCATTCTTACAAATGCTTCTTCACAACTTCTGAAGCTTTTATCACTAATCTGCTCTAGCAAGGCCACATCTGGAGTATTGTATCCAGTTCTGGGCTCCCCAGTTCAAGAGAGACAAGGAGCTACTGGAGACAGTCCAAAGAAAAAGAGACTGGGACAACTCTCTTACAAGAAAGGGCTGAGAGACCTGGGGCTGCTTAGGCTGGAGAAGAGAAGGCTCAGAGGGGATCTTTTAAATGCTTTGAAGTATCTGAAGGATGGGGGTCAAGAGGATGGGGCCAGTCTCTTTTCAGTGGTGCCCAGTGACAGGACAACAGGCAATGGACACAAACTAAATCACAGGAATTTCCACCTAAACATGAAGAAAAATGTCTTTACTGTGAGGGTGATGGAGCACTGGAGCAGGCTGCCCAGAGAGGTTGTGGAGTCTCCTTCTCTGGAGACTTTCAAAACCCACCTGCTCCAGATGAACCTGCTTTGGCATAAGGGTTGGACTAAAAAATCTCCAGAGGTCCCTTCCAACTGTGATTATGTGATTTTAAATAGAAAATGTTTTTAAATACAGCAAAGGTCATGTTCACAGCTTTGTAAATTCTTGGGTCCGTTACTTTATGAGTCTTTTGTACTTGGCCTTCCCTCTCTATTTAATTGCTGCTGTCCAGCATTTGGATGATCAAAGATTGAGTATTCCTACCTCCTCCCTCTTTTTTTTTTTTCTTTACCTGAGCACACTCCATTCCATGCATTTAGTCTCTTGAAAATCAATTCATTGCACAAAATCATTGTTCTGAGCCCTAATGCAATTTCACAGGTACTTGTGTTAGAATAAGTAAGAGGGTTCAGTGTTGCATAAGAAAGTTTTAAGGTATCCAGGCAGTCTTGATGAGCTCTCATTTACAAGGAGGTAATGGAGTGCAGGCAGGCAGTGCTGCTCTCACTCTGCCTTCCTCCCACCACCTCCATCATCAGCTGCCAGCTTGCAGCTGTAGCACACCACCTGATGTGCTTCCTCCATGTCCTGTCTCACCAGCTCTTTGGTACTGTTGTTCCACTCACACTGAATGAGTCTGATCTAACACAAAGACATAAGTTTCTTTGGGATTTTCAATGTTATGTTAGGGATTTTAGCATCACCATTAACTTAAAACACCTTTGACAGTCAGATCTCTGATATTCCCAATCTCCTTGATGCTCCACTTGCTTTCACAAATAGGTGTCTGATGCAGATACTTAGGGCAGACACAGCTAATGCAAAAAGGTGCTTCTGATGAAAGAAGGAATAAAAGTGAGAAAAATCTCCCTCTATTTCCTATCTCATAGTAAAAACCTATGTTAGCATTAGAAGCCACATTGAGAAAGTGTGTACGCACAGCCACATACTTGGTTTGTACTTTCAGCTTCCACTGCAGCCTGCAAGAATTTTGTATTTGTCCATGGAGTTTAGTGAACCTCTGCCAGCCTGCTGCTCACCTGGGCAATCACCTTGTCTCCACATCTGACCACTCACAGCAACTAAATGGGCAAATCAGTCCCTCGCTGGCTGCCCACAAGATGCTGCTACAACAGTTGGTAAATTAAGCTCGGCCTTTGAAGGTAGATGGGGAATTAATCTCACCTGAATTTAGCTATTTCAAAATTGCAAATCTACTACACCAAAGTCCCCCAGATTCTTCCATAGCCAAAAGCAGCTCAAAAAACAATTCAAAACCAGTTCAGGTGATGCTTCCATGCCAAGGCCTATCTATCATGTAGCCTGCAGCAGGACTGTGGTGATACAGGAGATGTTGGAAAGAGAAAAGCAGCAGAGCTGTGCCTGGTGATGAGTGCCAGTTGCTCCAAGATGCAGCCACCCACTCAGCTGACTCCATCCAGTACCATTGCTGCAGGGTGGGAGGGAGCTGCAGGTATCACACATTCATGAGCTACTCCCAGAGCTGCCATTGTGGCTTGTGAATGAATGAAGATTTTTGGCTCATCCACTTCTGAACAGATAGACTGCTGGACTGGGGAACAACATTTTCAACTGTGTAATGTGGTTTTCTTAAAATATAAAAATAAATGCAGGCTCCTATGAAGAAGCAACCACTTCCTTATAGAATATTTCTTTAAATACAATTTATGCTGCCATACAACTGATGTTGTGTAGTTCAGGACACAAAGTGCTGAACGGTCTGCTGTCAGAGTGCAGGAAGAGTTTCAGCACACTGAAGCAGAGGTAGGTGCCTCCTTTTCTTAAGTCTTCTGCTCTTGAGGGTTTAACCAGGATCATTAAGTGTTGAGTGAACATAATTTTTTGGCTGAGTAATCGCTTTAGATTTTCTCGTTCTCTTTATGAAGTGTAGAAGGTAAAAAAAGGTTTTTAAATATTTAACAGGCCTATTATTTACCTGAGAATAAGAGCTTACTAAGATTTGATACATTTTATTATGTAAATACCTACTTATTCAAAGTGTAAAACATGCATTCTTTTTGGTAGCCCCTAATCTGTCATGTGATTTGCCTCCTTTTCTTTCTCTTGTGTAAACTGCCAGTAATTGGACTAACATTAATGGTGATCTTCCCACCATATGCTGGGGAAAGCAAAGGTGCATCACAGTTGTTCTACTTACAGGTAAATTTAACCCTGCTTGATTTCACTTTGATAATTTGTGCAAGTAAAGCAAACAAGCCCCTAGTTACTCAGGAGATCATTATTCCTATGCAGCCAACACTATGAAATATCTATAGGGAATAGCAGCAGATTTTAAAATAATAATTCAGACTTTTTATTACTAAGTAAAGCCTCTCTCATCCACAGTCTACAAAATTGTATTAGAACTAATTCAGCTAGTTCACATTTTTTAACATTAAAAAACAGACTTTTTCAATACATGTGGAAAGCTTCCTCTCTGGCTATGCTCTTATGTGCCATGTTTCAGCCTTTTTTTTTTTTTCCCCTTTTTTTTTACAGCCAAGTTATAAACCTCTAAAAACAGGGTTTGTAATAGAAATCCTGATAGACTCACTTTAATGTTTTGAATTATAAAACTACACCTTTTAAAAGGCAAGTGTCATTGCCAAACAGTGAAATTACTATACTTTACTTCCACCCACTACATTTCAATTTTAATTTTATGAATATTGCAAATTATAACACTCACATTATAACCTCTAAAGGGGATAATTTATAAAAGCAGTGTCCATCAATTATAAATTTTCCATGACATTAATAAAATGGCAAGAACTAATTATGATGACTTCTGAGATGAAGATGCCTTGGACAAATCATTAATACGTTGAAATGGTATTTTTTAAAACATAGCAGGTTCTAATTATGACTGAAATGAGATTATGAAAATGATCACAGAAAGGACATTAACCTGATGAGTTCCACAGTCTCTGAGTACATGGTGTATGGAGATTTAGCTTCTAATGGATCTCGCTCCATGGCGTTCCCGCACTCGATGAAGGAGAGGGCAGCGTCAGCGTAATTCACCGCTTTGCCAAACTTTTCCAGCTGCAATGGGAACCACACCCAAAGAAAATCCTTCAGCTTTAATGGCGAGAGACAGGTCATAATACAAAGCAACACCAGCAATGGGGTGAGAGCAAAGAGATGCTAGTCGTTAAGAATGAACTCATATACCAATTACAGCAGTCTGTGTTGCTCCCAGACCTTTTCAGGTCCTCTGTGACCAGATGCTCCACAGAGGAAAGTCAGCGCGTGGCCATCCGTGTGCGTGGATTTACACAGGCAACGAGGGACACTAAGCATGTCTGAACAAATCCACATTGCTCCTTGACGCATGAACTAAATTTGAAAGTCACTGTGTAAGGGTTAAGTGACAACTATATGCCTTTTGTTAGACATCACATTGATGTCACACTGTTGACCACCCCAAAAAAATCTTATCACTTGTGTTATGACTAAAAGAGCAGGGGAAAAAAAAAAGGGAGAAAATATAGCACTGCTAAATATTTTATTTTACTAGGATTTTATTGCAAAAGGTTTTAGTCCTCGTAATGGTTGTGATTAAACTGACTTAGACATACTGATTTCTTTTTTTTTATGTGTAATGAATATTATATATGACATTTTTATAGTAAGTATTTTATAACAGTATTTAACATTTTCAATTTTTGATAGCTGGATGTAAGAATTCTACTAATGTAGTATTTGATATAAGAGATACAATATACTTTAAATAATTAAAAAAATTCTTTGTATGTCTCCGTCAAAATATTTTTGATGCATCTGCATGTTTTCCATTCAGAAAAAAAAGGAAGCCTACCCTAGCAACATATTAGGCAGAACATTTAATATTGGCCCAAGGTAACTGTGTATTTGCCTTTGTGGCTACGTCTAAGCAATCCTTATAAGCAGTTCCCTCTGCATACCTGTAAGTTCAAGTTCTGCTCTTGTGCATTGATTATGTACAAAGTTTGTGTAATTGATGGGCATTACCTGAACTATCTCAAAAGAGGGAAATATTTCTAAGTGGCCATTCAAATGGCCACTTCTCAGCATATTCAAATTCCTTGCTTCAGATCTTCTGAAGATGACTTTTTGTGGTATAAAAAAGGAGGAATCTGGCTGCAAGCAGGTTTAGTGCAGACACACAGTTTGAGCCAGAAATGGGATCTGATCCTGCCCTTTGCTCAATGTTGACTCTAACAGAGCAGGTGGAATTCCTCCAGCTCACCACCACAGCTCAGCTGAGAACAGAGCAAGGTCTCCAAGATCTCTTCCATATGGTACAGTCACCACTGCAGAAGCCCATCCACCTTAGTTGACTCCCTACTGCCATCCCAGACAAGGATAGGTTTTTGTGGGGTTGCTCCCATAAGGCAGAAAATGCCCTGCCCTTCACCAGAAATTTATTTTCTGTACAAGCTCAGGAACAGCATTGCCACAAATCTCATTAACAGTTGCTGACACATTTTGAGGTCATATGCATTATCTTTCTAGCTGCTGCAACACATCTTTCAATGCTGTGTGTGCTTTGTCATGTCAGCACCAAGTAACCAGAAGCAATTGTTTCCATAGGACAGCTAACACTACGGCACTGCACAGCAAATGTGTTACATGGAGATAATTTGTGTGCAGCTGTATTGGGTGGGAAAAAAAAAGTTGAGACCTAAATAGCAGAAAGAAAAAGCAGATATTCTGTTCATGGGTATTTATGTCTGCCAACAAGTTGTACCGTAGCGGATGGCCTCACATTCCCGTAAGAGCACTCAGGGTGTCAAACTGCATGTGACAGGCAAGGCCTGCCTGCAGGCAGCAGCAGGATGTGCTGTGCCTGCTCTTCTTAGTTCTGCTTGAGAAACACCCCTGATTCTGCAAGGCATAGTCAAAGGTAAGAGGACAGGAGACAGGTCAACACTTTCTGAGTGAATCAGGCTGTGGAGGGAAGTGGATGACATGCATCTCACAGCATGTTGAGAGCATCAGGAGCCTGAGCCTGTAAATATTTGCTAGCATGGAGCAGGCATCCCTGGGCCAGAGCCATGTGTTTGTTCTTTACAGGTCAGTCAGGTGTGGGAGGTGCTGGCTTCCTGTGCCAGCCCTTCCCAGGGGCAGGTGTCAGCGCTCCAGCTGCATGCGCCCGCCGGGACGGGCTTTGCTTTTGACAAACGCTTCCAAGCACAAAATGTGGGGTGACAATACACCTACAAAAACCCCACAAACAGAGCAAGAGGTGAGTAATCATCTGGTTCTTTTGCAGGTGGGATTGAGGGCCAAAGTGAATGGCCACACTCCATTCTAGACATTTTATTTTAAATAAATACAGGAGTCAAGTTCCACTAAACCTGCATAAATGAGCTGCTGTTCTGCACAGTACCTACCTACAAGCAAATACTTCATTGGTAGCAAGAGCTTGGATTGAACAAACTATGATAGTCTGTCAGATTAAGTATTTTTAGCAAAATAAAAACACATTGAAATCTTAGGTCAATCTTACTGGGACTTCATCTAGGGTAAAATGAGAGAAAAAGTTTTCCCAGCATTGAACCACTTCATTGCAAGATCTTTTTGGAAGACCATGTCGAGTCTTTATTTACCAGCCTAAAAGCAAGCAATAAAAGGAGGGGAGTATTTAAAAATCAATTGCTCCAAGTTTTAAACAATTGGATTGGAACTATCAAACAGTTTTACCACACGATAATGGGGTGAAGGGTGATTTGCCTTTCTTAACTTTCTGTTATGGAGTATTTCAACACTTTTGGTTTAGGCTCAAAGTGATTAGGAAAACAAATTTCAAATACACATCATCTTTCATGAAATTATCTCATACCCTTCATAGACAGCATGACTGTTGCTCCTCCTCAGAAGAGATACCAGTTATTGTAAGGAGCTTCTCTTTTTGAGAATTCTTAAAGACTAGGAAGGGTGCTCAGGGTTTGACTTGTGGACAGTATGTTTACCGAGTCCAATCTGAAGCATACTTAAGTCATTAGTAGGGTTTCTCTAGCTGTCCAAGGCTTTACATGACATTCAGAATGTATATTTTTGTAACATATAGCTCCACAGTGGAAAGACACAACCTCCCCCCATAACAACATACCAAGGCATCAGCTTTATGCTTTAGCTTCTTAGCCTCTTGCATGTAATAATCCGCATTGTGAAGCCTAAAGAGACAAAAAAAAATATTTCAAAACTTTTTCATACAGTTGGACAAACATGGTTTGAGAAAATTGCTGACTGCTTCCAAGAACAATTTCAACATATACACCCATTTATCTCTTTAAATCTTAACCTGATATTAATCTGAAGCTGCTGTATGCAAAGATATGATGGGTGACCAGAATGTGAATGAGCTAGCTGTAGAAACTGGCCACCCAAAGGACCCATTAATGTGTGCTGAACAGAGGAAAAGGAAAAATATTCTAAACTAATTAAGTATAAGAAGTTTCCATTAGAGGAGCTAAAATAAAAAAATGAAGAAGAATTACCGTGAACCAACATTCATGATCTGAAAACATTTATTAACAGAGTCTTCATTAATCAGTGACAACAGTTCATTTGTAAAGATTAAAACTGTATGTGCCTTTGTGCAGCATTATCCTCCCAGGTGCCCAACGCTAGTGTTACAATCAAAGATACTCTCTTTCACAGGGAGTTCTGCTTGCATGGAAATCCCACCTACATCACATGCAGCTAGCACAGAGATCCAGTAATACTTACACATCATCAAATGTTATTTTGGGTCTTCTGGGCTCAGAATTCCCATTGGAAAGGGTTGGCATAGCAGACCAGATGTCTGTTTCTAGATGGCTGGTGTCAAGAAGAGTGTTGGCTGTTGGTGTACTGTGAGATTCCTCCTCCTAGATAAAAAGGACAGTTATTAACTCTTCATAGTTCAAACAAACACCTTCCAACAATGTAAGTGCTCACATCCACACCGCTCTCCCCACAAAGAAACCCCAAATCAAACAAAAGGTTAAGGCACAAGGTAGCACTCACACATAACCAACTACGTCCAGGTTACCTCACAGAACCACCTTCCTTCCTTTATGACATAAGCCTATTAAATTAGGCAATATGACTCCACCTCTGAGCCCTCACCTGAACTCATTAGCTTACAGTCCTGGGAGAGGTCAGCCTGGATACCACTGAGTTACTGACTAGAGACACTGGCTGAAGCGAGGGGGGCAAATCTTAATGCAGAAGGTCTGGATGGAAATTCAACTTCATTCAAGGTGCATCACACTAATGTAAATGTTTTTTTCTTCTTCTGTGTTATTACCGCCTAACTCTAAGGTGTCTGAAAAGTCTGCTCAGATTTCAGTAATGAAGTTTCCCCACCCTTGCTACACAAAACAGAGAAGAATGGAAAGCAGATGTCAGGAGCTGTGACTTTGCATTGATTAAAACCAGAAGCATAACAGAAGCATTTAAATCAGGCAATTGAAACTTGCAAGCAAGGTCCAAAACCAGATAAACTAAATTACAG